TACACTAAACTCAGAAGTTAAATCTTAAAAATGCATTCAAGTACCCTAACTATTAACAGCGCTGTCCCTTCTTTGTGTATTACTTGTCTGCAGATCCTCAAATCATCTCTGAATTGGTGCTGACACAGTCATAGCTTCTGGAGGGTGACTACTTTTGTTCCCCATGATCCCTGTGTGTGTTATAAAGTAGCCACCACTCCAAGCTCGCTCCTGTGATGGACTACAATCTCAATACAAATTAGTGAACTAAACATGAGATTGTAGTCCATCACGGGAGCTAGCTTGGAGTGTAACACATACAGGGATCATGGGGTCACAAAAGTAGCCATCCTCCAGAAGGAAGGACAGTGTCGGCATGAATTCAGAGATGATTTGAGGATCTACAGTCAAGTGATACACAAATAAGGGACAGCATTGTTAATAGTTAAGGTACTTGACGGCATTTTTAAGATTTAACTCCTGAGTTTAGTGTCACTTTAACTTTATTTAAAGTAGAATTAAAGGCAAAACTGTATTTTCATTTTGGATAGAGTAGGGGAGGGTTATACCCCCTGTAAGTTTTCTTTGCCATCTTTGTCTGATTGGGGAGATTTGCCTTCACTTCCTGTCTGATAGACACAACAGGAAGTGAGAGGTAATCCCTCCAAAGTAGGGAAGCATAATTGGTATCTATCTATCTATCTATCTATCTATCTATCTATCTATCTATCTATCTATCTATCTATCTATCTCTCAGAATTTTGTAGATCCCCACCCCTTTATTGTTCTTCCCAAGACTCTAGATAAGAATGCAGGTCACAGACCAGACAGATGCAGGTTGCAGCTTCTATTACATTATTATATCTCATGGGGAGAATTGGTCACCTCTGCTCATCATAGTCTACTTTCTGAAGTACAGAGGGTCCGTAGATACCCCTCCTTGCACTGTAATGAAATCAGTAGACTTACAGATCTTTCCAGTTCTGGCTGCTGTACTGTCTTTTGAGGCCACTGTTGTTTAATATTTGTGTCTTCTGAGGTTCTATACTGTATGGCAGCATTACTCAACCTTTTTTCAGTCATGGCAACCCTAAAACGTATGCAAGATCTTGAGTCTAAAATATAAGGGTGCCCCCATGCAAAAACACATGAAAAAGTGAGGTTCCATCCTTTGCATCGAAGTCCTCCCTTCAAATCAAGAGTCCCCTTCACATCAAAGAGCCTCTTTCACATCAGGGTCCTTCTTTACATCAGTAGGCCATCTTCACATTAGAAGTCCCCTCCTTTTACATCAGAGTCCCCTCCACTTTTACATCAGAAGCTCCTCTTCACATAAAAAGCCCCCCTTCACATTAGAAGCACCATTTACATAAGGAGCCCCTCTCTCACATCAGAAACCTCCTTCATATCAAAGCCCACCTTTCATATTAGAATCCCTCCTTTGAAATCAGAGTTGCCCATTCATCAGAGTCCTACCATCACAAAATTGTGAGGCACCCCTGAGGAAGCCAGGAGGCACCTCAACATACCATGGCACCCTCGTTGAGAAAGGCTGCTATATGGCATACACTGTGGTATTTTTTGTAAGTAATAATGTATTTATTCTAAACATGTTATTGCTGCATTATTTCTGTGTGACTAAAATTACTCTGAAGTTTATTTTTCAAAACATTTTCAGTATACACAAGCCCTTAAAGGAAAACGAATGCCTTCATTATTTTTTAGAGCATACATGTGAATGTGAACAGCATGATATAAATCAATCTAGCAATATGTGTTAATGTATCAAAATGCTAGCTGTGTATAATTTTTAATTATATATGTGCCTGGGGACAGCCATGTTTGCTTATTACATCTGAAGATTCTGTTTCCTGCTTTGTATTGCTACACAGTGGTTGTTCTTCTTAACATCTTCACAGAATGCAAAACTATAGATTTGCTTGTCACCTGAAGCTCATGCACTCTCTCTGCAGCTGATACTTAAAATTACACTAAACTCAGAAGTTAAATCTTAAAAATGCATTCAAGTACCCTAACTATTAACAGCGCTGTCCCTTCTTTGTGTATTACTTGTCTGCAGATCCTCAAATCATCTCTGAATTGGTGCTGACACAGTCATAGCTTCTGGAGGGTGACTACTTTTGTTCCCCATGATCCCTGTGTGTGTTATAAAGTAGCCACCACTCCAAGCTCGCTCCTGTGATGGACTACAATCTCAATACAAATTAGTGAACTAAACATGAGATTGTAGTCCATCACGGGAGCTAGCTTGGAGTGTAACACATACAGGGATCATGGGGTCACAAAAGTAGCCATCCTCCAGAAGGAAGGACAGTGTCGGCATGAATTCAGAGATGATTTGAGGATCTACAGTCAAGTGATACACAAATAAGGGACAGCATTGTTAATAGTTAAGGTACTTGACGGCATTTTTAAGATTTAACTCCTGAGTTTAGTGTCACTTTAACTTTATTTAAAGTAGAATTAAAGGCAAAACTGTATTTTCATTTTGGATAGAGTAGGGGAGGGTTATACCCCCTGTAAGTTTTCTTTGCCATCTTTGTCTGATTGGGGAGATTTGCCTTCACTTCCTGTCTGATAGACACAACAGGAAGTGAGAGGTAATCCCTCCAAAGTAGGGAAAATCCCTGGTGGTCATTGTGACGTACGCCAGCCCTAAATCCACTGTACGTCAATAACACGTGACTATACAGAGTTCTGAACCGAGCGTGGCGTCACAAGGATGTGGCAATACCACTCTCAGCCTCACCCTGCACAGAGATTTCCCAGCTCGCGGGACACAACCTCAGGCCAACATACTGAGATGGTCACCATAGTTGGTTAACTCCGCAGTTAACCCTTTACCCACCAAATGTTCGCTGCCACCACATGTTTCTTTAACGGAAACACGGACCGTGCCCAGCACGCGTTGTGACCATATAAAACACTTAAACAATGCCTATGATAATGCCTGTCCTCTCAGAAAAGAATATGACAGGATTCACTATACAGTAGCGCTATTTACAGAGGCAAGGATACTTTAAGTTCTTATTTAGAGAGTAGAAATAAGCTTAACGATTTTAAAGATCGTCCTTTAATGAAAGAAACGGTGCAGAAAATATACAGAAAAAATATATTAATAAAAAGAGACAAAATATATATACAACAGTAAAATAAAGGGGAATAAAAGGTGGATACTTAACAGTCCTGTTTTTAGGAGTTCTGACAGAGTCCAGAATTGAATAAGCAAAAGAAGGGTCTGAAGGGCTCTCCTTCAAGCAAGCTTTCAGCAGATGATGTCCAGATATGAAAGGGTAACTCTTCTGCGATGTTAAGAGTTTCTGATGTTGCTGGAGTTCCTTTCTTGATGTTTCAAAACAAGAGCCTTTCTAGCTACCTCGGCAGCATCCTGTTGTCCACACTCTAGGGGGTGACATGGAGCCGGCCCCTAGGGCAGGGCTGGGGAGGGACGAGCCTTTATTTTACAATATCAATGTCCAATTCCAAATTATGAAATGGAGCTGATATTGTAACTCAGGTTTACAACTTGTGGGTGAATGCTGGGTCACCTGGGTCATTTAACTCTACCAGACCTGCTTGTGTTTATCAACTTGTCCACTGGTAACAGATGAGTGCCTGCTTGCATGCTTTAAATTAGGGACAACTATAAAAGGTTTAGAGGGTTATCTGGGACTCTCACTAGTGCTGGGGCAATAAAGATCACAGGTCAGATAAGCAGATCTCTGTTCTTGGAATGTGGAGGGGCCTGGCAAATGACTAAATAAAGGCCTGCATTTGCTCTGAACTGGGGGACAAGAGAATGCTATATTTAAAGGAGAACTATGGGGTTAAGGCTTTCCCCATAGTTCTCCTTAGGGTAACGGGAGGAAACAAACTAGCATCCTCACGTAACCCTAAGGAGAACTATGGGGAAGCTAGAACTATGAGATGAGTGCTTTTCACTCACCTCATAGTTCTCCTTTAATATTAATAGACTCAAACCCCATTATCGTCACAGTCATCAGGGTCACCAGAACTAGTATCTCCATTGGAGGATTTCCCATCTATTCCTGTACTGATGACAACCCACAATTTGGGATTTTCTTTCACTTTGATAAAGTGATAAATGGTCACCAGGACAAATAGAGATTGGAAATCACCCTAACCAGGACACAGATATCCAAAAGTAAAAAACATGTTTTGGCTTCAATCTTCAGGGAGTGGCTGCAGAAAAATACAAGCCACTTTCTAGTGTCTAATTTGCAAATCTTTATATTTCACACAATAATAAAAATATTAAAATATGTGCTCTGTGAAAATACATATATAGTTTGCCTTTTGTTTTATTGACAAGCAAACGCTATCTTGTCCTCTATTTTCTGGGAATATTATAATGTAGAAATAATAGAGGCTTTGTCCTGTGTTTTTGTTTCTGCTTCCTCTGCATTTTAGAACCACATGAAACAAAGTACAGCTAATACGATAAATATTATGAATAGATGTGGCATTAACATCCCTGTGCTTTGTACAGGAAAATAAAAAACAGGGTGATGTATCATCCCATTATACAATAAGTGTTCCAATTTAATTGCACTAAAGGCATTCATTGGGGATTTGTATATGCATGTTGATAAACAGTTTTATTATAACTGATGTATTGCTTCTTACTTGGTCTGCAGACAAAAGGGAAATATTTAACAAAATTAACAAATGTGAACTGGGATATGACATATCAGCAGTCAGTTGGTGTTAAATCCATTAGGGATTAGAATAAAAGTAAAGCTGGTAATTTATGTATAATGAATTTATAATGAAAAATCCTAGATCTGAAAAATAGGTAATACAAGTTATAAAAATGTGGGCTTTATTTTTCTTATACAACTGATTGGGCAGGGATAGGTTATATGTTCAACAATGGAGCATCTTACATGTGTAGAGTATATCATACATTTGTTTGATTTTTTTAAAAATTCTTACAATCAATATAAATGACAATATTTTCATGTCCTTTTATCTTTTAGAAAAAGTCACTCTAAGAGAATCAACAGGATGCTTTCGAATGAATCTTTGCACAGTCCAGTGTTCAACCGTTCCATCTCTGAGACATCCATGGACAACTCATCAATGGAGGATTTCTGGTGTGAACTTGAAAATATTAAAGAGAACAGTGAAGACGTGCTTGATGACAGCCTGGCAATGGATGTGAAGCCTGTGGATGGTAAGTGGCATGGAGACTCAGCATATGGCCACTAGAACACTCTAGTAAATATTATGAATGTAGCTAGGAAGTTTGAACATTTCTTAATAAACTGGCTTATTCAGTCAGCCAATGCAAACAATGTGCAAAGTGCATTAACCCATAACAAACAATTGCATTTAGGTTTACTGAAGTCAGATCAGTTGAGGGATTTTTCTACTGTTTGTTGTAGGGTTTTTGTTTCACATTTGTTTGTTTTTTTCCTCTTTTTTTTGCATTGCTTTAATGTATAGTATAAGCCCAGAAAAATAAAAAGTCTATTCATAAAGGGCAAGTGCAAATAAACATATTTGATATTGTACTGAACACTTTTTAAACTTTAATAGATTACTTGGTTTTGTAGGTGATCCACACTGTTAATACTTCCACTGTTTGCAACAAAAATGCATTTTTTGATTCTAAGGATTCTAGGGTTCTTGATAAAGATGTAAAAAGGTGTTATTCTTAGGTTAATGGAAATGTGTGCCTACTTTCTATTCCATAGCTGGGACATTATAAGTCATTAATTCAATATTATGTTTTACCTGGAAGTGTTGCTGTTTGAAGAAAACTGAAATCTCTTTTCTTAGTCATAGTTGGGGGCACCATCAGGACAGTCAATTCAGTAGTTCTATGGGGGACCTTGGCATAAATCTGTCAGAACGGGCACCAGCAATTACACCCCTGTCATTGCAGGGAAATAGAGGTTGCTGTCAGGGACAGACTGGAGAAGCAGGTCACAGAAACTGTTAAGACAGGGGAAAGTCTTTAGGTATCAAGCTAAATAAACGGTCTATAGCTTTGTTTTGTAATTTTAAGGCCACAATCTCATAACTCTGCAACTCGTTCTTTCCTTTAGATTGCCCAATTCTAATGTCAGAAACCTTGTATCTGAAATGCCATTTTGAAATACAATAAAATGTGTTTAAGGGGTTGTCCACACCATATCCAAGAACAGATCTGGATGTGTTTCTGCATATGTGTTACTGCGTGTTTTTGATACGTTTTCGATGCGTTTCAGTGCATTTTTCTATTTTTTTTAATTGGTTTTGCTTGGGTTTCAGCATGTTCCAGTGTGTTCTGGTGCATTTACATGCGTTTCATGCGTTTTTAAGAAGATCAGGCACTGAATGCAATACTGAGAACTACTTAGGGGTCTATTCACAAAGCTGCCGAGGGCAGCCGAGTGAATGACCGATCAGAAGTGAAGTGAGCCGAACACTGTTCGGCTATTCACTTCAGGCTGGTACGGCTGATTTCAGCCGTACATCGGCTGAAATCAGCCGTACATCGGCT